GAATTGAGCGTGGAAGCGGCACAAAATCGGAAGTATGCTCAATGGAAAGCAGTTTATCTAAACAATTGTTTCACAAATGGAGAAACTTCGGTGCCACGGCCAATGAAAGAAGCAGATGATGATAGTACTTCTATTAATGCGTCGAATGACAACGATGGTAAATATTAGGTGTTTATCCTCACAAATTTGACAAATTCTAATGAACATTTTATGACCATCAGATGAGCCTGAATCAAGTGTAAATCCTGGAAGTCCTAAGGATAATTCTTTGCTAGATCTGCCAACTACAAGAACGCAGTGGTTTGAATCAGAAGATGATAAGTATGGTGCCAAGTTGACGGTTGAATAAATTAGCAAAGTTCAAAAAATGATCAAATGGGCAAGCAGTGCATTGGATTATGTAACTACTTCTGTAATGAATCTTTGGAAAGCTCTGCATCTTTTAACTACTGGTCAGGAATCCGCATAGATAAAATGGATAGAAAATACGTTCAGTAATGTCTTATTACTTATAATTAATTATGTTGAATTTGATGCCTGTATCGCGCGTAATGCCCAGTAAAATATATTTTACTAATATTTCACAACTCTTGAGTACGAATAATAGAAGATGAATAAGAAGCATGGTTACAATTAGGTAGTCAAATCAACCTCTGCATATGGTGCACTTAAATAAAAATAGAAATTGTTGCAGTGTTTTCCAGATTGTAACTATTGTCCAAGATGATAGATGTATAGTTAGAGTTTCATTATATTTATTAAAACTACTTTAAGAGTATTAATATTCATTTTAATAAAATAATTATTATTAATGAGACATTTTTGCGAAATCATTGAAAAATCTTGAATTAGATTGTTTTAAGATAAATGGTTTATGTGTAATTTAGCATATAATTGCTTGTACAAGCTTTAGGATTTAATATAATAATGACATTGATAAACAAACTTGCAACAAAACTAGATGTGTTTTATTTCATATGATTGTCTTAACTGTTATATAAATAAAAAGAGATAATTTCTTTGATCCAGAGAATATTATCGTTTTCTTTCTTCCTACATATTACAAAGTTTTTGTATTGTTTGAAGACTGGTGGATAATGGATTTTCTCGTGATTGAGCGCATACATGATTCTCTCTATTTAGATACTAACTTTTTGAATTCTTAAATTAAGATTTTACTTTGGAGTATGGCGAACTCTTTGGTAATGAAGTTCTTAACAAGGTAAGATTTAAGATTATGCAATATAATTATAATTAAATTATTGTTTGGGAATATTATACATAACATTAACATAATTATTTTTTAAGGCAATTATGAAGGAGAGGAGCTTTCTTATTGATTGGGCTGAAACTTCACAATTTTGTATATTTTGGTGCATACAACATAAATCTGTAAGAGAGAGAGAAGGGGGAAGAAGGAGAGAGAGAGAGAGAGAGAGAGAGAGAGAGAGAGAGTTAAAACTGTCGCTCTTAATTTTAGGAAAAACGTTATTAAGTACTAAAATTGATCGTTGCGTGGTTAGGATGTCTGTTATATCAATATGTAGACGCATATGATCATAACGCATAGTAACATAAAATTACATGGAATTACAGTACTAGTGCAGTGTAACAGCAACCTCTCAAAATAGTCTGATGCCTTTAATTGTGTGCTATTATTTGACTTTGTATTTATATAGACTTTTTAATGTGCCAATTATTTTCTGCTTCAAAAAAAGCATTAACTCTATTTCTATTATCTTGCTTAACCATACAGTTCAAAAAAGATAATAGAAATAATTTATGCTTTTTTTAAAGCAGAAAATAATTAGTTTATTAAAAAGTCTATATAAATACAAAGTATAATAAATACAAAGTCAAATAATAGCACATAATTAAAGTAAGGCGCCAGATTATAGGATAGGTTGCCATTATATTGTATTATTATTGTAATTTCATGTACTTTACGTCACTACACATTATCATGTGCGTCTATATCATATTGGTATGACAGACATTCTATAACCACGCAATTATCAATTTTAGTAACTAATAACTTTTTTTCTAATTGAGAGCGACAATTTTAACTTATAGATTCATATGTTTTACGCACCAAAATACATAAAATTAAAATTTTTGCCAAATCAGTGAGGAAGCCCCTCTCCTTCATAATTACCTTTTTTAAACCACATTTAACTGCAATAATTAAATTATTTATATTCAACCAATTAATAATTTTTTAAATGTAAGTAATTTATCTGAGACTATATATTTATTATTAAAAAAATTAATAATTATTTTCCACTAATTATTAATTTTCAAATAAATAGTAATTTATTTTTGATAAACTATCTATTAATTATTTTAATAATAAAGAATTTATTTCTACTAATTACCAGTTAAAAAAAAATTAATTCATTTTTACCTAAATACTAACTTTCACAAACTAGATATTTTTCTCTGACAAATTACCAATTCTTTAAGTAATCTACACTTCTCACAAAAATTAAAGGAACACTAAATTTATCTTTAAAAATAGGCAAAATTCAAGCAGCTGTAACTTTGTTAAAAATAAACAAAATTTAAATTTAAAAAAAGGATTTTAAAGCTTGAAATTTCTACTTTCAAAAGGTCACTATTATTTTTTAGTTTCTGTGAGTTTGGTAATTTTTACATGTAGAAAATTACGAGTTGGACAAAATAGAAAATTTTTCTCTTATTTTGTGGGCCTGTCACGTGCACAAAAAAAATCTTCGAAAATTTTCAACTTTCTAACGTGAAAGCTTGAAGTTTTCGCCACACAACACCCGTTTCTGCCGCGAATCCGTCCTTCAGCCTCCTTCCTTCCCGTCTCAGCTCTTCTCTATTTAGCCCACTCCCTCTTTTTCCCATCCTCCTTCTTCTAACTCCTTTGACTCCCCTTTTCCTCTTATTCTTTCCCCCTCTAGTTTTATCATCCATTCATCTCCTCCCTCTTCTTTATCCAATACCCATCCCACCGCTTCCTGCCAACTTCCATTTCCTGATTTCCATCTCCTACATTCTTCCCATACATGCTCTCACGATTCCTCCCTATGTTCATATAACCTACATATCTTTTTCTCTTCCCAGTAACTGCTTTCTCTCATTTCATTCCCTAATCTGAATCTCGCCACCCTTCTCCATCTGCTCTCACCCCATCCCTTCTTCAGATATCCGGGATACTCTCTCCTTTTATAAACTTGTACCATTTATTATAATCTGATTTCTCGATCTTCTCCCATCTCTCTTTCCTTTGCGTCTTCTTATCTTCTCCAAACAGCTTAATAAACCATTTATTTCCAGCATCTCCTCTCAGTCTTTCCAACTCTTTTAACTTCACTCCTCTGTCTTTGAAGAACTTTCCTCTCTCTCTCTCTTTCCCAGCTTGAGCTTGCTTTCCCTTCCTTCTCCCTTCCCTTCAGCTCTTCCCAACATAGCCTCGCCAGTTCACTTCCTCTACCCTCCTCTAACTTTTTCTCAAATCTCCATGTCCTCATCCCTGCTCTCCCTCTTAATTTTCCCCTTTGCAGCTCCTCCCTAACAAGATACCACGGTGTTCTCCCGTCCACCCCCAAGACCCATCTGATATACCTTTCTTCTATCCTTTCCATTCCTTCCTTTTTTCTCCATCCCCATATTTCCGCTCTATATCCCAACTAGTCTTTCTAGCATGCTCCTCATTTGGTCCTCGTCCTCCGCAATTAGCACTACATTATCTGCATAAGCCGAAGTATACACCCTCTTCCCTCCTAGCATTATCCTTCCCCACTTAACTATACCCATTTCCTCTTCCAAATCCGCTAGTAACACGTTGAACAGTAACGGGCTCAACGGGCACCCCTGCCTTACCCCCCTCCCCGTCCAGAACACTTCTCCCATTTCGTTTTTCCCCCTTACCCTACTTTTCGTCTCCCTTAGAATCTTCTCCGTCCTTCTCACCAATCCTTCCCTTATTCCTCTTTCTCTCATAGCTTTTATTAGTACTCTTCTATCCACCGAGTCAAACGCCGCTTTCAGGTCCATGAAACAATTGCCATCAATTTTCTCCCTTTTTTCTCTAGCCTTCTGTTCACCAAGTAGTTCAGCACATAGATGTTGTCTGTTGTTCCCATCCCCTTTCTAAAACCTGTCTGATTCTGTGGTACTATTCTCTTTCTCTCTAACTCCTCTCTTAACCTCTCCGCTAGAATGGCCGTGTGCATCTTATATAAAGACGGCATTATTGTCACCCCTCTGTACTCCTCCGCCCTTTTTCCTTCCCCTTTTTTTACAAATAAGTGTCCGATTTCGCTCGATAAAACAATAGCTAAATAATAGAAACGGCCAAATTACGAGCTATTAATAGGTGTATATTTATTAAAATCAATTTAACAACGAATGTGTTCGCAATATAAAAAAACAACGTTGACGTTTCGAGCCTTACTTGGCCTTCTTCAGAACAAACCGCATAATTCTAATTTAATCGCTTCATAAACTTTAACGCATCAAATCACACTAAAAAGGACTGAAAATTTGCAACCGTCGCAACATGTAAAAAGTCAAACACCTCAGGTATTCGTCAAATATATATTGTCGGTCGTCTCCTCTGCCGCAGGAACAAGGTGAACATCCGTGATGTCCCTGCATTCGCGAATCTTTATGTCACCCGACCGTCTTAATGGCAACTGAACACAGTATAAAATTATGATAAGAGACGCGAATAATTAAGTAAAAATTTGTTAAGCGGGACACTCACATAAGAAGTCAGT